TAAAACTTAGAAACATCTTTGGGGAAAAGGAGACTAAACTTCTTCGGACACATGAAGATTACGGATTGGAATATTAGTTAGTTAAACAAACAAATATTCGATAAAGTAATAAGACTGAAGAAAATAAAAGGTTATCTGAAACAAAAAGAAGAAGTAGAAAAAATGGGTATCGAAGCGGGAGACTACCATGATAGGGAAAAAAATAAAGGTTCTTGTAGCGGAGAAGAAGAAGCAAGGAGCTACTAAGAAGTGGAAAGAGGAAAGAAGAAGAGAGATGAGAGAAAAAAATAGAAGAATATTGGCGAAAAAACAATCTAGAAATCAGGGTTTTAAACGAAAAAAAAAAATTATTTTTAAAATTTTTTTACCACGGGAATTTTGATTATCGATAGTTTTCAGTTCTTTTGGAACTAGAATGTTTTCCCTTTCAACTTTTCGAGTAAAGATTTTACAGGACCATTAACGGATCCAAGATTTTATATTGAGGGTGACCCCCCGGTTTTGTTTGAAAACCCTTTTTTAATATATTTACAATGTTTATTACTTTGGGAAAAAAGAAAAAACTAACTACTTATATGAAATGATGTTTAAATGATTCTTGATCCTATTAAATATTATTACATGAACAATAGTACTTTAGTAGCGATAAATATTTAATAGTTATTTCATAAAACATGCTCATATCTTACCATTTTGGGAAGGGCTTATATTACTAAAAAAGTTTTGTCGATTTAGCTAAAAATTCGATCTAAAAAATTACATATATTCATATTTTCTCATACAAATAACACATTAGAATAATGTGTGATTCATTTAAGATAAATTATAACTTCAATCTAAGACCAATTGCTCTTTATTTTTCATTTAACTGATCGTTTTTTCAAGATCTCGCATAAATACAAGTTAAACTTTTACAATAAATCTGGAACTTTATCATAAAAAAGTTCCTTAAAACTTTTCTTTTAAATAATTTTTTTTTTTTTTTAAGTTATTCTTCTTGGTAATTGTGGTAATGGTTCCAATCCTTTCTAGAAATGGTACACGCGTGGTATACAGTTGTTGCCTGCATCACGATAAATAAATAAGCATATTAAATTTAGTTCTAATGTTAAAGGTCCATTTTAAAAATGTGAAAACCGTTTCAAAAAGGGTTTTGGAAACGGAATCCTGTATTATTTCTTTGTTTCAAAAGTGGGCATTTACCAAACAGCCAATGAGGAAAATGGACTCTGATCAAGTGATTCAACAATGGTTGCCTTCATGCACTAACCAATAATGGTTGGCCATTTCCTAGATTAAGGCTGCCATTAATTCTATTAAGCAAACACACCCAAAGACGAATTTAATAACAAACAGTATTTATAATACCAAGTTGGTATTTCGTATTTTTAAAATCATTGTATCTTCATTACCAAGTTTATGAACTGTTTACAGAAAAAATATGCCCTATAAAATATATTCCTATAATTACATTATTTTATGTAGGACAGACTTTAATGAACCTAATCAATTTGATAATTTATTAAATTCATTCAAGAAATAGAATAAAATACATTTTGAAATGAAAAGTGTTTACCTAATTATGAATTAGAAATGTAAAAATTTTCATGTAAGTATGAAGAAATGATAACTGACCTTTCCTTGGATCTGATCCATAATTATTCGAATTTTAGTAGTAAAAAATTAATTACACACAAAGTTTACATTTTACATTCAATTTCCTGTTTAATATTTAAAATAATGACCTATTGCAAAAGGTTACCCCCCTCAAAATATGAGGTTTCACCTTTCAAGATACTAGAATCCGAAAATCAAATTTTACAAAATTCGCCCTTTCGTCGTTCTCGGTTTTCTTCAAGATTATTAGGTAGGATTGGCGGTTATTATAAAATAACCGGTTATATATTACCCCAGTTATTTCATCTTTCTTTTAATCGCTGGTTTATATCCGCTCCAAATAACCGATTGTTTAAATGACCAGTTTTCGGTTTGCTTTTCTTTCCAAGAAAAAAATATCTTAGTAAAGGAGAAAAAATTGAATTGCTGGACATCATTTTTATTGGTTAAAAAAAATCTTGTTTACAAAATGTGTTTTAAATTTAATTTTTACTTTCCTACCTATACTAGGTAAGGAAAGTATTGCGATCGGGTCAAATTTCCGATATGCTCTTTTCGACGGATCTGTACGTTTCAGAATCCCTTGAGTTCGAAATACACATTTTTGGCCATTGATCTGTCTGTCTGTGCCATTTGTTACTAGTGAACCGATTTTGTTGCTTCTTTTTTTTTATTTTGTAAAGTTTTGACTACTGATGTCTGCGACACAAATTGGGTGCTCCATGCGCAATAGCTGCTACGGAATAAATGACAAACACGTTTTTCTATAGACTATAGCGCCAAAACGGCTCTAACCATTGTGATGAAATTTTCCTGTAATGTTCTAATAATTGTCCTTTAAATTTTCGTACATGTACTAAATTCCCGAGAAAACTCAGGAAAAAAAGTTATATACAAAAGAAAAATGTTTTGGGGCCTAACTCGCTAAGTATATATTCTATGGTAAAATTTAAAATAAAACTTTTGAAAGGTAATCAAATTCCATACAATACTATATAAAAATCATTCATTTCGGAGAACTATTAACAAAGTTACAGCTATTCAATTTCCAATGTAAGATTAGGGATTCATATGGGGGTGTCAGAAAGGGGTGAATGAGAGAGAGAGAGAAATAAGAGAAGGTTATTATGGATGATTTTGTTTGTGACAAAGTAGGGAGCATTAAGGATTTTACGAAGGAATTTGGATTGTAGGGATTGGATACGAAAGGATTTTGATTGATTTTTTTTAGTTAATGAAAACAGTGAGGAAGCTATACTGACCATGGCAGACGTTTTTACTTTATTATTTACACTTTAAAGCAGTGCTGCCTTACTATATAGGGATGCTCGATACACAGCATACTTATCAATCCTTTTTTTTTTGAACATACAAATTATATACAAATTCCTTTTCATATTACACAGCAAAAAAAAAATAAATATAAATACTACAATATACTAATACATACAACTACAATTATATAATATATTATATTTACATATTTCGGTGAAACCGATACAACATAATTATAATTTATAGGCCTAAAAAAAAAAAAAAATAATAATAAAAAATAAATAAATATATATATATAGTATTCGAATGCCAAAGTTTGCCAATAAAAAAAAAAAAATGCCAAAGAAAATTAGAACGCACACACAACACAGACAAAAAGATAACTAAGTGAAAGTAAGAAAATCTGTTTCCCGCATCATGCAAGCTTCACTTTTTCTGCTACTTTTAACAGAAATTGTTTGACAAAATTAGGCTATGGCAAAATGTTTTTGTTCAGTAATATTAGAGGGTATTGAAATGTTTACACTGATCTACCTTAAGCCAGTTTACATTGCTTTAGTTTATCAAATAAATCGTACTCAAATCTTTTCTTTGATCAATTTTCAGGAAAATAAATCTAATTAAATTTTTTTTTGTTTCTTGATGGACGTATGTTAAGATATAAATACTTTTCTGAAATAGGTAGGAAAGTTGTGTGAGTGGACACACCAGATTTATTGTATAAAAATATAGTATTAAATTATACATACCATAATTATTCCATTTAAAGAACATATTTTTAACAATGTGTCGTATTTTTCTTTTAAAGATAAAATAGTTTATTTTATTTGTCAAAGGAAATTCCTGTACAAATAAATATAATGGTATTATTTACAATTTTAGATCTTGAGTCTAGTACTGTTTTCAAACAAAACATTAACAACGTCCACAGCATTAAGCATGACTAATATAATAACAGAATAGTGAACAATATATATATAACTAATAAAACAATTATTTTTTTCAATAAAAAATTGTTTTTAAAATATTCTAGAAGTATAAAAAAATAACAATATAAACATGTATTGATATCTGTTTATATGATTAACTACATCTCTTAACAGTTCATTGAACAGCCCTGTATGAAATAATACAGATGGTTTATTTTTTTCACAGTGTCTATTTTCAGCATTTCCTTCACACTAACATCTTCCCTGGATTCAAGTGATAAATGTCTTCAAGTATTTATTTCTTGGTTCTTTGAATTTGATACATTGAATTAAAAAATGAGTCACCTGATCAGTTACAAGGCCGTCGCATGGACCACATACTTTACTAGATTTAATAGTGAAAGTAGCATCTTTTAAATATATCTTTAAACAATCTTTAATTAATAATTTGAGGCGACTAGCGGCTCTTAATTTGTTCAAATTTAGAGCCTTGAACTGCAGATAGTCCTCTGGTACGGTAGAATTAGATTTTTCTGAGGCAGATTTTTCTGTATCTTGGGTTTGATTTAGAGTTTAACACTCTGTCGATGTTCTTGGATGCATGATGGTTTCTCATTTTTCAATGATTGAATTTAATTTTTTCTTATAAAAATTATTACATCATTTATTTTCTGATGATAAAACATTTTTTAAATATTTGCAAGTACATGCCTTCAGTTACCTTTAATATAGAATATTTAGGAGTCAACAAAATATATTTAAATATTTATTGTTGTTAAGTTTTGCTAATATCAACAATATAATTAAAACATTTTATTGTTTCTCTTGAGAATTTATTTACTTTAGCTTTGTTGTGTAGGGTCTTCAGCTACAATTATAGTTAGTTTTTTCTTCTTTATAATCTAAACTCACATATTAAGAGATAAAATAAAAATATTTTGCTCATTTCTTTATTAATACTAATAGCATTATAAGAATCTAAGTACAAAAGTAGTATGTACATATTTGTTTATATATTTCTTCAACATTGTCAGGTGTTTTGTTTCTTTTTTATGTTTATCCTTTTATTTACCAATATCAACTATTATAATATAGTCCAATGTACAGACCCCTTTTTATCGAATTATTAATATCCACCTGAAACTTCATAAATAGTTTCATCTCATCGTAACCTACAACTATTTTATTTATGAAAACTCTTGGAATTGGGGTGTTTTCAGTCTGGAGAGGGGCAAACTTTGTATATTTAATTAGGTACTAAAAACTCGTAAATACACATTTGTTTTCTACTTGGATCGTAAGATAATTTGACCACAAATTTGAGAAAAAAAGGTGGCCTTCAAAAATATAGTGTACCATTTGGTGTGACCTACATCCCCAAATTGTCAAAATAACGAGGTTATATAGAACAAATGGCCCAATATTTTTGTAGGCATCCTTTTTTATCTATTTTGTGATCAAATTATCTTGTGATCCAAATAGAAAGCAAATGTGTATTTAGGTGTTTTTAGTACCTAATTAAATAGACAAAGTTTGCCCCTCTTCAGATTGAAAACGCCCCAATTCCAAGAGTTTCCATAAATAAAATAGTTGTAGGTTACAATGAGATGAAACTATTTAAGAAGTTTCAGGCGGATGTTAATAATTCGATAAAAAGGGATGTGTATCACGGACTATTAACCTTAATTTCATCTTGTTTTATTTTTTTGTTGGAAAGTTTTCGTTACTCAGATGAAGTTAAAAATGATAACTTCCTTGTGGCTTGTTTATTTTTCATTTATCACATTTTTTCAAAATTTGTTTAGTCCTTCTAGAAATGTTTTTCTGTCATCAGAGAGGGAAGTACAACACTGTACAGCTGCTAAATGGCCCAGTATACCGATCAGGCCGAATAAATAATGTGTAATGAGAGAGAACAAAAAGGATAAAGTTTCGCGGCCCTATCATCCAATGTACCAAATGTTATAATTTATTTATTAATTAATATAATTTTCTCCACATTTTTTTCCTTCTCCCAGCTAGCCGTAGAGCTCATAACAAAGTGAGTGGAATTAATACAGATGATGATGCGAAATTCCTAATGAGTCTTAAAATAATAAATTCTGCCATTATCTGCAGATGGCTCTTTTCCACTCCCAGCTTTCCAAAAACTTAGCTGTTGAAAGTGGAAAGTTCTCTTTCACCAAATTCCTCTCTATATTTTTCTTTCGGGCACAGAATGCATTAATTATATATCTACTCTTTTTCTGTTTGTATTTTGACATCTTGATCCTCATCATAAATTTGTTTGTTTCTTTTTGTAGTATTTTTTTCCAACTTTAGCTTTTCCACGATGCAAGTTTTTTCCTGAGTGAAGGGAGAGGGTGGAGGATTAATACCTTCATAGTTAAAATGAAGTTTAATTGGTTTATTCTATTTTAATTCTGGTTATTCTGTCCGCGTCATGTGTGTCAAGATTTTTGCTGCCTGTTTTATAATTACTGTTATACTATTATTTTTGGTAATACGTATAGATGCAATTCAAATACAGCCGCTTGAAAGTAACCTCAATGAATGACTAACAGTTGAAAATAAACCACACTAACCAGCGCCCAAGAGAAAATTGTTGAAAGATTTGAGAGAAAAATCCTCCTCATGATCTGCGATCTGAGATTCTGAGAAATACGTAAAGGAAAAGACCAATAAAGAGCTGCCTATAGAAACTAATCAACCAACATCTCACGAAATGAAGGCCAAGAGGTTAAGGTAGGCGGGGCATATATAGCTCATGGTAATCCATCTGGAAGACTCTATAAAACAATGGATGCCCAAATAGAAGGCAAAAAAAACACATGGAAGGCCAAAAAGCAGATGTATAGATCGAATGAACAAAAAAATAAAAAATATATATGTGGCTTCTAGTAATTTTTTGTTATTATTTTCAGTTCAGTGTCTATTATTTATGAACTCTTAAAGTTGAAATTGCAATGTAATTTTTTATACTATGGTAAGCTAATACCATTGCACTCTGAATTTATTCAACTATAAAATTTAACAATGTATTATTAATTAATCTGTTAACTGTTAGCTGTTATATCTGGCAATCACATATACTTATTTTCATTGCAAACACTCTCCTCAGTGTACACTGCAGAACTTTTAGAAATCAACCACACTGTTAGGAATATAATTCCAAATTACCCTTGTTCAGTTATTTTTTCTGACACCAAATCTGCCCTGCAATCTCTACTAGACCCCTTTATTACACAGCCTCTAATTGCAGAAATAAAACTATATTTGAAAACATTGAAAGACACAGGTTGTATGGTATTGTTTTTTGGGCTAAATGGTCACAGTGGAATTGCTGGAAATGAAATGACAGATACACAGGCAAGACTAGCAATAAAAAATGGGCAAGTCTTTTCAGTAACTGGTTGCAACTATTTAATATCTTGGATCAGTAAAAAGGGATGGCTGTAGTGGCAGAATCAATGGTTTAACATCAAGGACAATAAATTAAGAATGATCGAACAATATGTAAAACTTCATAGAACTCAAATTCATAGATAACCTGTTAACTTGAATCGTAAAGAAGGATCCAAGAATAATGAAAATGTTTCTGATGATGGGAAAACATTTATCAATGTAAAGAAATATGGCAAATAGAAAAATATGTAAGTAACATGGAAGTTATAATTGCTAATAACATCACCTATTAAATTAACCATTTTAAAGTTAATTTATTACTTAAGAAAAGACTTTTACTGTCTCTTACATCAACTATTTTTTTCATCTTTACTTTTTCAAATTAAATTTGGTAAAAATATTGCTGAAGTTTTCCAAAACTGAAACAGTTTAGAATTTTGGTGTTTTTGAACAGTGGGAGTCTGGATGTCCCAAGCGTCATATTTTCAATTTCCTTTCGAAGGGTTGCAAAGTTTATCTTCTAGCGGTTTCTTTGGAATTAGCAATGTTAGCCCTGCCATTACTAAAACAAATTGTATTAATTGCAATCGAATTACTACAAATTTATTTCATCTAAAAATATTATTAATTCTAAGCTCATCATAAACACATGATAAATGCTAATCATTTCAAATTTATTAATTGTAGAAAATGTTATTAAAGTATTTTTAATGATTTAAAAGAAACTTACTTATTGAAAACAATGCTATTCCATAAAATAAATATATACAATAAGTATAGCCAAGGGTTGCCATTAAAAAGTTCATAGTGAAAGTCCCTGATTTCCCAATTAACATCATAATACCAATACTACTTGCTCTGCAAAATAAATGTAGTTTTGTTAAAATTGTAAAAAAATAAATTTTGTCTCTTAATGCATAATTACAGAATATATTAATATTGTATAATGTAGAAGTTTTTTTTTCATAAAATGGTTTGAATAAGTATCAAAAAGTGAATTAGGTAGGGCTCATTTCGTACAAATTTTGAGATTCCAATTCCACAAAAAAAAGTTTAAAAATTATTTTTGTCAGAATATTTTTTTTTTTTCTACCGCTGTCGTTATCATTTTAACTACTGTGGTTATCCTTGATCTAAATATCGTTTAAGATATTCTTCCATCCTTCTCTATCTAAGGCTTGTTCTTCTCTGATGCAATGCCCCGTCAAGTTTTCTTCCACTGCGTCTTTCCATTTTACCTTTGCTCTTCCTTTTTTCCTTCTCCCTTCTACTTTCAGTTCCAAACATATCTTTGGCAATCTTTCGGGCATCATTATTTTCATATGCCCAAACCATCATAATCTTTTATTTTTAATATTTGCTATAATGTTTCTTTCCATTTCTATAATTTCCAGAATTCTTTAATTTTTTCCCTTCAGGATTTTCTCACTGCCCTTCTCCAAAAGTCCATCTCTACTACTAACAGTATTTTCCGGTGTCTTGCGTTGATGGCCCATGGCTGCGAGGCATATGTTTTTATTTTATCAAATATAACCTTGTATATTAACCTCTTTGTACCGTCCTGTATATTTGAGCTCCAAAGGATACCCTTCAGTATTGCCCGGGCTTTTCTTCCTTCACCAATTCTCCTGTCGATATCAATATTGGCGGATGTACCTCCTCTATTAAATATTGATTCTAGGTATTTAAATTTCTCTACAGTTTTTATACTTCTTTCAATTGGCATGTCATCAGTTGAAGTGCCAAAGTGCTGTGTTTTCAAAAAGTTAATAGTCAGACTCCACTTTTCATAAGACTCTGCAACCTTTCTGAACATATAATCGATGTCCTCTCTATGCTGAGCATAAACTAAAAAAAAAAAATTAAAAAAATTAACTTAAAAATAAAATACTAATGATACTGGCTAAAAACCTTTACCTTTCTAAAAATCAGTCTAAATAGATGAACCTGATCATGATGGAATTGAAACCGTTAAGATGAGGGAAATAAAATATAAATCAAGAAAGTTCTACCCATAATTACATTAATTTCAATTAGGACAGAATCGCTAAAAAGAGGCTGATCAAATAGTCAAATTAAAAAATAAATAAATAAAAATTATGAATGATAATAAGAAAATTAATTCATTCATTTTATCACTGTAAGTTAAAAACAAAGAACATATAATCACTGACCACTGCATTAGCGGATCCAGAATTTAATTTTTGGGGGAGGGACTTCAGCACGAAACCTTTTTTTTTTTTTCATAAAAATGACAATAATTACTTTGGAAAAAAAAGAAAGAAACTAACTATCTATATGAAATGGTGTTTAAGTGATTCCTTAATTCCTTTTAAATGTAATTACATGAACAACAATATGAGGTAATTTTTTAATATATTTTTCCATAAAACATGGTTATATTTTACCATCCGCCCGTGGACCACTGTAACTACTTTTTCAAAGACTGGGTGATATTATGGTTCACTGATTGACAGAGTGGGTGATATCGGAAATATCATCTATTTGTGATATTCAATTCATCTACTGGAGAGACCAGAATAAGTGGTAGTCACTTGGAGCTGGGTCTGTTGAATAGGAAAGGTGGGACAAAAAGTCTTATCCAAAACTTACTAATTTATTGTGGGTGACCAATGAGGTTAGAGACTTAAACATCAGGCCTGAAAACGTAGTCGAGCTTGTGCAAATGATTTTCTATGCTTATGTGTGACACATTTAGCAATTTCTCGCACTGATTGGTTGAGATTTTGATCAAAAATGGTTTTAACATTAATCTTTTCAATTTCTTGTAGGCAACCATACCATGAAGCATCAATGATATACAAATTTCCTGAATGAAATTTGGTAAACCAATTTCGACACTTGGGCTCGGTTAAGGTATTACTCCCGTAAACCGTAGGTATCACACTTACCTTTTTTAAAATAACAAATAATGTTTTCCTCCATATTTATGATGCAATAGCAAACACAATAATAATCTAATTTTAACAAGGGTTTGCAGATGTGGTTGTTGAGAAATAGAATAAACAATTTCATCTGATAAGAAATGTATGGTAGTGGCATAAAAATAAACAGAAAAAGTAAAGGGACTTATTTAAAAATTCATAAAATTAAAAGAAAAAAGAAAATGGAAAGCCTGAAAATATATGCCATATTTTCATACATTGTGATATTATTATTGTAGTGTATGAACACAACTGAAAAAAAAAACACCTTGATAATTGTAATTGAGCCAATATTGAAATACCTGATTCTTGTTGGAAATATTTCTAATGCAATGTTTAAGGTGCTATATACGCAAATTTCATATAAAGCCATATAAATTGAGGCTACAATCATTACATAATCAGCACTAATATATAGCATAATCAGCGAACATATTGCGGCCATCAAGGTACAGCTAACTAAAAGCAAAAACCAATTTGGTACAAATGAAAAATTAATTTTTATTCTGAGATACACTGTCCCCTAAAAATAAAAAAATGCACAGTTAAAGCAGTATTTGTTTTACTGCATGATAGGATCAAATTTAAATAATTAAATATAACTTATTTAAATAAATTGAATACCAACTGAATAGATAATATAAGAAGAAGTTGGTCAGGGTATGGACAATAGACATACTATATATATGTTCTAATTTTTGTAAATAGTTTCATTAGTTTGATTTTTACTTTCACTTATCTATATAAGTAATATATGGTAAGGGAAAGTATTGCGATTGTGAAAATTTTTGAATCTGAGTTTTCTAAGGAAATACTCATTTTGAGGTGCCCTGAGTCCTCTTACCCAAATCTCGCAAAATGGTCTGTGTGACTGTGTGTATCTGTGTATGTGTATGTTAACAGTCTAGCTGAAAAATGAAAAGTCGTACAAAACTGATATTAGCTACTTACGATATGTATATGCCTTAGATGTGATTACAACTTTTTCCTTAAAATCGGCTTACCGGAAATGGCACTTTATATCAATGTTGCAACACATTTTTACAATTTTCTCAAAAACGGCTCTAACGATTTTGATTAAATTCGGTGTATCATTGTATAATTAATTAGTCTTTAATATCAATTAGATCTTATCCCCATTGATGTCACTTTACAGCGATTAAATGCCACATGTTCATATATATCTTCCTCTAAAGTTCCTTTAATATAGTTTATTTTAAATAATTAATTATCTCACATTATTAAGAGTTATGAAAAAAAATGTTAAATATAATTTTTGAAAGAATTTAATAAAGGAGAAAAAAATAAAAATGCTTATCCAGGTCGAAAATGAATCTCCGGAAATAAAATTCAAAAGGTATATTTATAATATATCATTGGAAAGCGGAAAATTTTAGAAAAAACAATATCTAATATAGAAGGTAACAGAGAGAGGTGAAAAAATTGTAAACAATAATTTTTGAAAACTGATAATATTTAATGTAAATCACATGTTTTCAAGGAAATTTAATGAAAATTACTAACTTATTTAAAAAACTGTTTCATTGTACTTTTGTGAAAGAAGAAGTGAAATATAAAATCATTTCATGGATGTATAAAGTATATGTTTATAACCTTAAATACATTTACTGTAGTTTAATAATTCTAGACCTGAAATTATATTTAAATAATTAAGTATCTTCCGTCCATTTATTCCAAAAAATCATCATAAACTTATAGAAAATTAAATTAGGGAATAATTTGATGAATTATTATTAAAGAGTTATTAAACTACAGTAAATGTATTTAAGGTTATAAACATGTTTTACTCATCCATGAAATATTTTTATATTTTAATTCTTCTTTCAGACAAATATCATATAATAATTTTTTTAACAATTTCATTGCGTTGATTCATGGATTTTTCAAACTAAAAAATAATTTTAAAAGTTACACATTTATTAGGAAATTTCATTTAAATTCCTGGGAAACATGTGGTTTCCGTTAAATAATACTAGTTTTCAGAAATTATTATTTAAAATTTTTCGTCAATTCCCATCACATTCTATGACTATATAATTTATATATTATATTTTATAAAATGTCTAGCTTTCCAAAGATATATTATACATATATATTCTGACTATTATTTCCAGAAATTCATTCTCAACTTGAAAACATTTTTTATATTTAGTATATCTATCCATTTATTTAATGTAACCGTTTTTCTGACCAAATTTTTTTTTTTTCTGTAACACTGTTATTCTTAAGGGACTTCATCCCAGACGAAAGTTATTTTTCTATTTATCTATCTACATATGTATAATAATAGTACTTTATTACATTGGCCAATGTTTCGACTTATGTTGGAAGTCTCCATTAGGGTCGGGAAGTGGAGTTTAAAACTGAAGAGGTCAATGTGTCATTGTGTGAATCGTTACTGTAGAAGCAGTTGTTTTCAGATCCAAACTTTGCTTCACACTCCTCTTCAACTGCCTCTACAACAACCATTCAAACTTTTTCAAGTTAATTTATTATCAGCCATATTTACACAAATTTTTAAAATTTTTTGTCAACTTAATGACTACTCATCACAATTACGACGTTTCGGCTCGTCCAGCTATTTTCAAGTCTAGAAAATGTTTTCAATTTACAATCATGTATTAACTTTAACATATTTCAAATTATAAACATTCTTATTATATACCAAAATCATACAGACGTGGATAATATGAATACTTTTAACGCAAGTTCAATTGAAAAAATCAAAATTTGAAATAAATTAGCTAATATTACTTAAAATAGATCCACATGTAATATTGGGAAACATCATTGTATATGTTTATAATAAATAGTCTTCCCCTACTCCTATAAGAATAACCAGTCACTGAATAGAAATGAGACGGATGACATGTGGGTGACCCATGAACAAGGTAATTTTAACTTATTTGAATCATTTAATAGGAAAGAATGGAGTAATAATAATGTTGTAAAATAATTAAAGGTGAACATGACAATAATAAGGAATTTTATTATGAGTAGTCGCATGCAATTCGCATAAGTGAAAAGGACAGGTACATGATGGGTATTTCTATGGGTATTTCCGTCTCATTTCTATTCAGTGACTGGTTATTCTTATAGGAGTAGGGAAAGACTATTTATTATAAACATATACAATGATGTTTCCCAATATATATGTAGATCTATTTTAAGTAATATTAGGTAATTTATTTCAAATTTTGATTTTTTCAATTGAACTAGCATAAAAAGTATTCATATTATCCACGTCTGTATGATTTAGGTATATAATAAGAATCTTCATAATTTTAAATATGTTAAAGTTAATATATGATTCTAAATGAAAACAATTTTTAGACTTGAAAATGGCCTGACGAGCCGAAACGTCGTAAATGTGATTTGTAGTCATTAAGACAAAAACTTTTAAATTTGGTGTAAATATGGCTAATAATAAATTAACTTGAAAATAAATAGTATGCACTGAAGAAGAATTGAGAAATATTGTGAACAATTCAAAGGATGACACATTATCCTCTTCAGTTTTAACCTCCACTTCCCTACCTTAATGATGACCTACAACGTACTTCTATTAATTATCAATATGAAACAATAATAATTAAGAAAATAAAATAGGGATGAACTTTTATCGATTTTGTTTAATGCCATTTCTCATTCTTCTATCACTGTATTATAAAAACTAATCATAATATATATATATATATATATATATATATATATATATATATATATATATATATATATATGTATATATGTTATTAGTTCTATTACTTACATTGCATTATTTTCTTTCCAATATACCTTATAAGTAATAAGAAAAGTATCTGCCCAATCAGACCAACAACATTAACCCAGATCATTTGGGAATATACTTTCTCGTCATTCAAATCTTCCTAAAACAGTCTTACTACATTAATTTCATTTTTGAGATTAGAAAACTTCGTAACTGTTGAATATTTCAAGCTTACTGATGATGTTAACATTCTTCTTCTTAATTCACCTTCTTGCAGAAGAGGGCATAGTCCTTGGTTTGGATTCAACTTGGATGAGCTGATCAATGTTAGCATGTCTGGTAGCCATAGTCGCAAAATATTGTAACTGTAATTAATTATGAATTAATATTCGTGTTTATATATATAGTGTGTGTTATAAATTAATTTATAAGTAATACAAAATATGCTCATTCAAAAATATTTAATTTTCATTTTAATTTATGTGTGTTATTATCAAAATAAATTAATGTTATGATTAAGCAAGTAAAAAATAAATTTAAATTAGCAATTTAAATCCATTTTTATTCAGAACTTCTATGTAAATAATGTTCTTTTTCAATGTTCGGTTATTGTTTAGTGCATAGCCATGCCCATTGCCATTGAAAATATAAATTTCAATATTTTAAATGAACATGCTCTAATTGCTGCCACATATAATTCTCCATGCGAAATTACTGGACGTCACAATAATATGCACATTTTTCCAAAACTTTTATCCTGCGATTTGATTATGGTCATAGCAAATGCAGTTATTAATAGGAACGTTGTTCTTTGAAAGTCGAATATAAGTATAGTGTCAGAAAATGTTAAATTAATTCTTGGAATTAAAATCTTTTAATTTAAAGTAGCCCCCGTTAATACTTCAGTCTCATTCCTGTTCCATTAACTAATGCTTGTGCAGTATTTATGTTAACAATGAGTATAACTATATAATATATATAGATACTCACGAAACAATGAACCCCAGGTAAAGTAAGAATACTACCACTGCCTTCTGGACAAAAGGAGGTCTTAAGACATCTATTCCTTCTAAAAACTTTGATAGATTAGATTTATTCTCAATTTTTCTGCTCTCATGATTCAGTCTCTTTACCTAAAACCACAATAAACACATGTTTTTAAACATTTCATTTTTTAAAATAAGAATTTGTTGTAATGGTGGAGAAATAGTTGATTTCTGGATTGACAATCCATCTAGAAGCCTCTACATAACAATGAATACCTCAATAGAAGGCAAAAGACCATGCGGAAGGTAAAACATCATATATATAGATAGAATCAACAAAGATGCAATAGAGGTACATGCAGATAAATGCAAAGAAATAGCCCAAGACAGGCAGAGATGGAGCAGGCTTGTTAAGGTGGCAAAAGATCTACATGGTCTGCAATGCCAACAGAAAAAAACAAATGTGAACCACAGCTTTAGTTCTAATGGTGGATCTTTATAAATGGATTTATTTAAAAGCAAGTTTAGCCTTTTATTGATTTTTTTTCTATACAATTAGTTAGTTAGTTATTCTTAACAAATGTAGGAAATTCTGAGTGTTTATTGCACCAGTAATAGACATCCAGTTTTTTTTTATATCATTAAAAAACCCAAAAATAAATCGGCCATAGTTTTTTTAAGTTAAGAAATGGCAAATTGTTGATAAATTAATAAAGATTTTAAACTTAATATATTTATAAGAAATTAATACATAACTTTTTTAATATGAAAGGATCTGAAACAATATTGTTGATTTTATCCTCCATTGTTTAAGAGTCATATTGAACTGTTACTTTAGATCTTAACTATAATTAATTCAAGACAAACAATATTGAGTGATTTCGAATTCTTACCGGATAACTAGTAGATAGGTTACCGGTGTTAATGGAATATATAGTCTGGCATACTTTGAGAGCGCCTTCGTGATTCCCTTTGTCAGCCAAAAATTTTGGGGATTCAACGAAAAAGATACAGCTAATACCACTGATAAGCGCAGGTAGACAGCAAGCCATCTGAAAGAGCTGCCAAGATTTGAAGGGTATTTCACTAGGCACATCAATCGGCATTATCCACATCGCTAGGCCTGTTTAAAATGTATTATGGAATAAATAAATTTTTAATGAATAAACTTTACGAATTAAATACATTGAGTTAGTTATAGTTGGTTTTATACTTAAACATGTTATTAAATAAATGATAAAATAAGCTAACTTATTTATTTCAACCCTACCATGCTATTGAGGTAATACAAGGGTTTCGTAGAACTGGGTTGTTACTCTTCTCTGCATAACAGCCTTCTTCTACAATGAGATCAATTTTCATATCTTCATTTGCTGTTTATGGCCTTATTCTACTCCTCCTTGTTCTGCCATCCTCCCTGGCACGGGTCCTTTCCTTGTGAGGTTGAAGTATACGGGTCCGATTGCTTCTTCCCACCCGTATACAAATCCTTTGTAGTAAGGGTAGTTTTTTTGAAGGCGGTGCAGTTCATGATAATGCGCTCAGCAGTCTCCGGGATCCCACAGCTAGAGCATAGGGGATTGATTTATTTTTCCAAAGCCATAAAGCTTGGCACCAAAGCTCCCATGCCCTGTAAGCAATTGTGAGATCCAGTAATCCAGAAGGACCCACATGGTTTCCAAACATGATTGAATGGTTGGAAAGTACTTCCTCAAGGGGGCTCCTTTCTGGTTTGTCACCCACTGTTGATTCCACTCTTTAATTGCATCATCCCGGATTTTAGTTTTCCATTTTCTTGGGTTTTCACCAATCTTCACTTTGAGATTTCCCGGCAGACCTGCTGAACCTTCTTTCTTGTATGTATACTTTAACATATCTTCTCGTAGGAGGAGTTCGAGAGGCACCCCTCCCGCTAATACCTGCACCGCTTCGTGAGACACACTCATGCAAGCCCTGGTGCCTCTTAGCAGAGCCATTCGCTGGATTGTTGGGGACACATACCTCAGAATACCTACAACTGTACTTTTATAAATAGTCATTGTTGCCGGGTATCTGAGGCTCCAGAAAGCGCCTCCTACTTGACTAAGGTCGTTCATCGATTGGGCCACTCTATTAGCCAGATAGTCCAAGTGAGGTGTGACGTTGAATGCTCTTCCAAATCTGACTCCAAGGTAAGTGGCCACCTCACTCGGACGTATCCTTTTACCTTGAATCATTATATTGATTGGGAGTGCCATATCTGTTTTTCCTTTCAAGAGAATAGCCTGGGTCTTGGAAGCAGCCATCTTCAACTTCTTCCTCTCGCACCATTCTCCAACCAAGTTGGTGCACCATTCTCCTTCTTGTTGTATTCCGGCTCTGCTATTGGAGAACACCACTACGGCTAAATCGTCTGCATAGCCAGTAGCAGGGAACCGCTCCTCTTCTAATACTCCCAGCAAATTGTCAAATAAGCTAACTTATACAAAACATAAAAACATAGCTAATTTTAATATTACTTCATAATATTTAATCTTATTATACTAACTTGATTGTATTATTTGGCCGATTGATGCGTGGAACCCTAATGACATAATAATTATATCTCTTCTCTTTATTGGAAATATTTCTGCGATGTATGTAGAAAAGATTGGATATGAACCAGATATTCTGTAAGGTTATCATATTTATTTTTAGTGTTTCTCCATAATGCTCTATATTAATAATACTTTGTATCAAAATTATATTAAATTAATTTTTTAGTTTTATTCAATTATTTATTATTATTGTTTATGTTTTTTTTTTTTTTTTTTTTTTTTGAAGAGAGATTACTGAGGGTTCAATAAATCATAGAAATGAATTAATCGTGTAATTAATTATTAGTATGTAACATATTGATAGCGAATCATTACAGAAATTATAATTGAAGATCTAGAATATTCTGTATAATAATTTAAATTATTGAATACGAACGTGAAACCAGCTAGGTACTTGAAGACTATCATTAGCGGAACGATACGGAATGCTCCTATCAGAATGTTCATAAGTGCATTGATGAGAAAACCGATGACCATAAACTTCTTCCTGCCAAAAGCATCAGACATGAAGCCCCACAAAATTCCACCTGATATGATACCTTGAAATATAAAATAATGATTTAATGACTGAATCAAGATAGTGGGAAAGCCCAACATAATGAGATTTAAAAGATATTGAAATTAAAAATAACAGCAAGGTAAAAATAATATGATTTATAAGAATGACAATACATACATACCTTTTTGATTTATGGATGAAATTCATAAAATTTGTAAATGACGAGCAGCCCGAACAGGCATCAGTAAGTGGAACATAAGGACAATACTCAACCAGTCTCTCTTGTATGCAGATGATATCATTCTCATTTGTGATATGAAAGAGAAATTGTAGCAAGCTTTACTGGAATGGCAGGAGGAACTTTAGCATAAAAAGGATCCTCACCAATGCTTCTGAGAGTAAGGTCGTCCTTTCCTGAGACGATGAGAAGACGGGAGGTGGACTTTAATGGTGAATATCTTGAAGTGGTTGAGAACTTTAAGTAACTACTTAGGCACCAACATGAATAGACAGAGCAAAGTAGATTGGGAAATAGCAAATAGAATTGCTAAAGCCAATCAAATCTATTACAAAATTTGCAATAGCATTGTTGGCCATCGAGATGTGGGGCACAAGAATAAGCTTCATATCTACAAATCATTATACTTCCTTATAGGAGTGAGAGCTGGGTCATGCTGGACAAGCAGATAAGTAGAATCACAGGAGCTGAAACGAAGTACTTATGTAGGTTCAAAGGAAAAACCTGCACTAAAATCCATCCTTGAAAAAATAAATACTCAAGGTTATGGAAACTCGACCTAGTGTCAAGAGGCCACGCAGAAGGCTTAGAATTTTAAATGATGAATATATCAAAAGAATTGGAGAAAAAACTCTTCAACAAACGAAACAACTCTACAGGAACCATGAAGCTTGGCAGCGCTGAGGACTCTCCATGCTAGATATGGCATAAGGAGGAAGATAGAAATAGATGAAACAAAAATAAATATGTATATAAATGGAAAATTGAATTTGAAACTGACTTGTATACCTGCATAGCACGATGATTGAAGAAGAGCCCTTTCTGAAGGTTTGAGGCCCAGATCCACTGATGCTGCTGGTATAATAAATGACATGGAAGCTGTATCGAACCCAAGGGTGCATGCAGCAGGAAATGTGAGCAGCATCAGAGCAATGCTGAACTTTCCGCATCCTATACAAGCATATATTTTCAGAATTAAAAAAAAAATTACATCCTATTTTTAGTCTATTAAATGAAAAAAAGGATTTAGTTCCTTGGCAATAATAACTTCCAATTATTAACAATACGAGTATATTTTTAACGTTACATGTTAACAGTCTAGTTTACGTTTCGGGACCTTTTATTCCCATCTTTAGAACTGCAATTCCAATACTCTTGTGGATGCAAGGCTTAATTCTAATAATAATAATAATGTGCTCCATCGTCAATTTTCTAATATATGTTCTAAAATTTATTATCTAGAGCAACATTCTCCTTTTGACCAATAATTCGGTTTCTCGATTTATAATTTTTATTAATTTAATAGGTTAATTTAATATGATTAATTAAATAACTTAATATTTAAATACATCAAATACTAGTTGTACTGTTCATCAGAAAACTATGGTTATAAAAGAGGGGATTAAATTTGGCCTAAAAATTAACTGAGAAAACTCCTTAAATCTTGGCCTTGGATAATAATTAATTTATGCTCCATCTCAACTCTTTTTCCTTATTATTCAGTATTAATTTTCTCTAAGTAAATGTCTCATTTTATTTATCTACATATTATTAATAATATGTATAAAAATTTTTTAAAAAATAAATTTATAAAATCCTGATACTTTGAATTTTACATATTCATAGTAATAACATTAAACATTATCAGACTATTTTTCAAATATTTCTTAAAAATCCTTTATGAAATTTGGTTTCCATAATAAAAACTTACCAGTTTTTGTAATTGCCGTTTCTAAATCAGCTGAATAGGTACTATTTGATCCTGGAAAAAAATAAATTTATATGCTTTAACACTTTTCGCTAGGTATTGTATTGATTTATATGATAACATTGTATTTTAATTACTAAAGTTCCTTTATAATACTGACCCTGTAGTATTAAAAACTATACCTAATCAATATCTCGATATTGAACATAATCTGTGCATGGTTGTAGAATATGGAGTTAATTTTAAGTTTCAGTAGACCCGAAAAATAAAAAATTAGCCAATATTATTGCTACAATATACCTTAATATATAATGATGAAATCCGATATTGACTTACAAATGTTGGTCTTGTTAGAGAAGATGCTTAAGAGAATAGATATTTTTTAGGCTTTAAGTATATAATCCTTAGTAGGCACTCCTCAAAAATGGTTTTCAAATATGCTAAGTTATATCTTAATTAAAAAGTTTTGTTTAGTTGTCATTTATTAAAAAACTGTGTATGTATATTAACAAATAAAAATTTTGACTATTCGGTTTGATTAATGCTTAACATTAATATGCATGATTTAAAAAAACAAAAAAAACATACACACATGTAAATTATTGATAATCCATTCAATTGGACGCCATAACATATATTCAGTTTGTTGTAAAAAGTAATTAAATAACATTTCATAAAATTAAATCTATAAGAACTTTGATAAATTAACCCTCTGCGAAATCAGAACATTGTGTTCTTGTTAAGATATTTGATAGATAAAACGGTTTTAGTAATTTTCATGCACTTATATTGTTTCATATTGACAAACAAGATTGAAATTAACAAATAAGTTCTTAAAAGTTTAACGCCATCAAAAATGTTTTTTGTGATTTTTTCCAATAAACCAACAAAAAATTATTTTGTCAATATTGTCGTTCATGTCATCTTTTTCTTTTGATAATACTAGAAATATTTATATTTATTTCTTAGAAAAAAACAAAAATAAGAATTAATTGACATTACTTGATCTCTGTTCTCCATTTTTAATGACTACATCTCCATCTATGACCACTTCCGATTGTGAAGATCGTCTATTTAGCTCATTATTATCTGTAGTATTCCGCATACTGAGGGAATTACTCCTGAAAATATTTTATTCTGTGTATTTTACTCAAGTCTGTTTGAAATGAGGTTGTATAATTTGATGTCATTTATCAAAATTAACGCATGTAACTAAAAATACAACAAGTAAATGTGGGTTGCTACAATAATATGAATAAACTTGTAGAGAAACTTCCCATTGTTAGCACTCTAATTTTAGTTCGATATTATAAGGTCTCGAGGCCATCTTATTTTCAGACATCTAGGAGGATTGTTAGGAATAGAAGTGGGTGCAAGGTTAGAAACTAGTGGTTTTGGATGTGGCTGTCGGTAACATGAGCAACATTATGGATAATTTTATTGATGACAAAGTAAGGAGCGTTGAAGATTTTGCAAACGATTTTGGATAGTAAAAATTGGATGCGAGATAAATTGATGGTTTTGTGGAGTCCCAAAACTAAACTCCATCAGTCCTTATCATAATCAAGTAAATGAATCTTTTGCAGTTAGTTTTATTATTTGAGGGATGACAAATTAAATTGCAACAAGTACCTGATTCTCCTGAGTTTGTAATGGGTTGTGAAGACGCAGTCTCTTCAAGCTTCCATCAGAGTTCTTCAAATATTATCTTAGATGACACTTAATAGAAGTTTGCCATTTATTAAAATTCTTCACACTGTCATAAAAACTCACAATATATAAAATTTTGTTCTGTAAAAGAAATGTAAAGAATTAATGAAATATATAGCATTGACAGGTTGTTCACTACTCAGTAGTTGTTTTCCAACTATCTAAATTATTCCTACTCTCAAAGCAATTTAAAAATAACTGAATATATAAATAAACATTAGTTAATCATCATCATATTAATAATAATAATAATAATAAAAACTCAGGGAGTTCCATTCAGATATATTGTCAAATTATGAACATCCTAAATAGCTTAATCTTAACTAGGTAATTTTAATATTAACCTACAACTATTTTATTTACGAAAATTTTTGTTTTCAATCTGGTTTTCAATTCGTTTTCAGTCTGTACCATGGACTACTACATACTGGCATTATTGCATCACCAACTTAATTTATTTGCACATTTTGAATCTCACGCCTATTAGCAATGCAAGAAAAGTAATTTAATATTCAGTTTAATCACATTAACTGTTTATATTACTTCGTTAACTTACTATCACAGGTAAGAAAACTTTGTATTCACATGGGAGCTTATAATTTGTTTTTCCTCATAATCAAAAATTTCTCTCACACGTTTTACTTTTCATATCAAGGAATAGATTTGGATCCGGTTTTTTAGGAAAATCCATTTGGCCAATCACCAACTACTATTTATTTGATTTTTATGAAATTTTCAGAGATTATGCGGATCGTTTCCTAGGTGGTCCCATATCATTTTCAACAACTTACATCCGCGTCGTTTTACGCATGGTTAAATGTTTTTCGTTGACACGCCTATATTTTAAACTTAATGCGATTTCGTACAATTTTATATATTAAAATAAAATACCAGACAACTGAAATAATAGTCCAGTTCATGTGTTGGGATATTGTCCGCATAACATGTTCTTTTTCACTGTTGGACATTGGAAGAAAATAACAAAAGTTACAATTTAGAAGTTTCACTGCATTATTAACAAATTTATGTCGTTTCTCCTTCTTGTCCAGTAATTTTTAACTTAATTATCGCATTAATACTGCCCTGAGATAATAGGAGAAGAAATGAAAATAATGTTTTTTGTATATAGAGCTGGTTTACCGGTATTTTTTGTTCTAATCTATCGGTATTTGCTGGCAAGAATTAGGTATTTCTTGTGAAAACTAAGACAGTTGAGGCATCGCGTTTTTAGATGTATGTGATAGATGCATTTAGATGTATTTTTAGATGCAAACATCATATTTGTTATGATGTTTCAAACAATTGCAAGTAATTTTGGTCCATTTCGCAAATCGCCCAAAAAAACAGATATACCCTTTTGTTTACAAAGATTTGAAACCTAAAAATATTTTTCGGATCTTGTCCCAATCTATTACCTTGGAAGTTGGAACATTGAATTTAGAATGACTATCATTGCTTTTTATTTATTTGATTTTTTTTATTGGCGTGTTCGAGTTATTATCAACTCAGATTTTGGCTAAATAATATTTAATTGTCTATACTGACTAAATTACAAACATATAACGAGTGAAGCCTCAATGTACGCCGGAACAATAATATAAAGCATCGTATTTCCTTCTACTCCTCTGTTAAAAATTTAGGATTTTTCATAGATCAAACCCTCTCCTGGACCAACCATATTTCTCACATTTCCCGTCGGACAATCTCTACCCTTAAACTATTTCATCGCTTCCGCCATCTCCTACCTCAACATATCCGTAGACTCCTAATTTCCTCTCTCATCTTCCCCCACTTTGACTACAGCTGTGTGGTGTATGATGGCCTCTCGGTGGAGCTCCGTGATAGACTGAAAAGATTAATGAATAGCTGCGTAAGATTTGTTATTGGTGCCCCGAGGTACTCCCATGTCTCTCACCACTACACTGAGTTAAGGTGGCTCTACCCCTCCTTCCGAAGACAATACTTTCTAGGTACGTTCCTCTACCAAATCATCAACAACCATCGTCCTTCTTACGCCTACAACCTTCTCCAGTTCAAATCCTCAGTCCATTCCCTGTCCACAAGATCTCGACCTTCTGACCTTTACATGCCTTCTCACAGATCTGCCTCATTCCAAAATTCCTTTATTGTTCGCTCTGTCAATTTCTGGAATTCCCTCCCTATCAAAATTCGACATTCCCCCTCCATATCCACATTCAAATCCCTCCTATTCCAATTCCTATCACAAAAACAGTCAGATACTTGCTAACCATTCGAGCGGATTTTAATAGAGAATTTGATATATTTTTATTTTTTAATTCTTTATTTTTTTCGGAAAAGTGTATACTGGTTTAAATAGCTCTAAGTTTCTTGTCATAGTATTAATGGTTTTGTATATAGTTTAGTTTGTTTTGTATACAGAGTTTTTACCTTATATTTTTTTTACATTATTTCTTTTTTTCGATTTATTTTGTTTTGGCCAGATGTAATATTTTAATTTTGTTCTAATTTGTTATTCTCAAGGGACTGTGTCCCAGAATAAAGTTATTTTTCTATTTCTATTTCTATTTCTATAGCCGAGTTCCTTAAAATGAAGAACTATAAGTGTTTCCTCGAAGTGTATTTCCTGGGTACAGAAGCCTCGACAAGGTTCACCAGAAGACGCCAAATCCATTTTAAAAAAATTGCTTGTCTGTCTGTATGTCCAACGAAATTTTGTCAGAGTTGAAATGAAAACAAAAATTGAGTTGAACCTAAGTTATGAATTCTTGAGTAATTTGTCTAGAGATCCCTGTTAAGCAGCTACTTACTTCGATTCTCACCCCAATCTACTCTCCCGCGAGCCACATTTAAAAGTTGTACTATTCATATGATGAAAAAAATTATTACAACTCAACTGGAAAAATCCGAAATCTCGAACATCGCTTGAAACACCGACAAAACTCTCTCATCTTGTCCTATCTTCCTGTCCAAGGTGTCATTCAATTCAACTTCCCGAGCCTAACAAATGTTATGTTATACATTTTTAGGATTAACCAAACGGATTAGCCAGAAATCGGAAAAAAATACTCCAGAAAATTCCACTCCACCCTCCACAATATTCAGATCAAGTTCTAATTATACACGGATGTAGGTGACTCAATGTCCAATATTATTTTGGCTATTTTGCCAGCAATAAGCGATAAATGGTAGAATTTTTACATTATATTTAAGTTTGTTTGACTTTTTTTTATTTATTTATATTCTATAAAATTTGCACCTGCGCGGCTGCGCATCTAGTAAATTGATTGTATTTATACTGTCTTGGTGTATTTGCTTAATTTTGTTTTTATCGATATAGTAGATCTCTTGGCCATTTTCTTCTTAATCTGCGTTGTTCTGGTAACAAGGAGCAGGAGATAGAAAGAACCAGAGGAATTTAGTGATTTTAGGTTTAAGAATGAAATGTTTGACTTACAACAGGCTTTGAGTAAAAACAAAATTTTGAGTAGTACCAAAGTTATGAATTCTTGAGTAATTGGTCTAAAGATCCCGGTTCAGAAACCAGCAGGAAAAACCCGAAATTCCGGACTTCGGACCGCTTATGCATCAATGCGCTGTTTTAACAGTTAGTAGTTATGTTTATCCAATTGATCTGTTCGAAATGTCATTCTATCAAGCTTGCCAAGTCAAATAAATATGGTCATATATATATTTTTTTAAGATTAAATATATAGAATGGCCACTTAAAAAATCAAAAAAAAAAAAAAATCACCCTACTCTACCAAGAAAAATCCGACATTCTTCTACACTTGAGCGCCCAAGTCACGCTGTATCGCTTAGTCACCTTCACCTAGGTTACTACCCGTTTCACAGAAATAATACATGGCCAAAATTTCGACTTGAATTGTTCACTCATTAGGTCTACTGTCATATTTATTGGCAGTCAAGGAAGTAAAAACGCTGCAAATTATTTCACAATGGTTTATTATTTCCAAATAATTATACATCTAAAGTAACATTACCTACCGAGTTACAAAGAAAAAAACAAAACAAAAGGTGATTCCAATTATTGGACTAAACTTTTTTTCTTTAATCATAAGTAATATGCTAAAAAAAAAAAAAAAAAAATAGCATTAGTTCAGTAACACATTCAAAATTTAAAAACCAAACCAAGGATATAACATTTGGAGTAGAAAATATTTTAAAAAACCGGAGACCATATCTTTGCTCCTTATTGTCCGATTTAACAATTTTTTAAACTTTTAAAAAACTATTACAATATCGACAAAAAAGTAAAAACTTTTCGAGTTATTCGGAATTTAATTTTACCATCCCTCGTAACTTTTTTTCCAGCTTCTTTTCGTCGAAGTATTTTATATAGATAAATTTAAAGGGCGTCGAGAAAATGACTAGCGAAGTTTCATTGAAATCTGTACATTCGTTTAGGAGCTACA